CAAAGTAATTTTTGCCTCTTTGAAAATCTTCCTGCCATCATCGTTCAGTTTGTATGCACAGCTTGATTTGATTGACCTGCATTGGCGTGATGTGTGGAATTTGATTGGATTGGTCACTGACTGAACAACGATGAGCAGTTGTGGACAACCTACACAATTGTACTCTGTAATGGATGGTTTTAAAAAGGTAGCTAAGTACAATACTTCATTCAAAACATACTTAAGTAAAATTAAAATGACTGACTTAGAAAAATACTCTAAAAGGTACAATTACTCGGAAAAGCTACTCAATTACAGTAAAGAGAGTATTTGTAATTCGTTACTTCCACCCCAGGTTGTATGTGTTGTAGCGCATGTCCAGATAAATGGTTGAACTAATTCCTGCATTCTTCCAGTCGTCGGTGGAATACCTTGGCTACATCTTTGACGCTACGGGCCTTCACAAGGCTCCGTCCAAGGTCAAGGCTATCTTGGACAACAAGCTCCTCAAAACGTCAGCCAAATGTGTTCTTTCTTGGGGTTACTGAATTACTATGGATGCTTTATCCCGAGCTTAGCAATGAAGCTGAAACTGCTGCATCAGTTGCTTTGTCAGGACAAAACATGGAAATGGACAGAACAATGAGAGGAAGCATTTGTGAAAACCAAGGAAACACGACTAAAATCTGAGGCACTGACGTACTTCGACCCATCATTGCCCATCCAACTAGCTTGGGATGCTAGTCCATATGGCTTGGGGGCAGTCCTGTCCCATATCATGCCTTCCTGTGAAGAGAAGCCGATCACGTTCGCATCAAGGGCATTGAACAAAGCAGAAAGTAACTACGCTTGGATAGAACGAGAAGTTCTAGGCATAGTTTTTGGAGTGCATAAGTTTCACCAGTGTCTGTACAGAAGGAAGTTCACCCTTCTTACAGATCATCGTCCACTGACGAGCATCTTTGGACTGCAAACTGGGATTCTGTCATTTGCTGCAAGCAGAATGCAAAGGTGGGCTTTGTTGTTTTCAGCACACACCTTTGACATCAAGTACCGCAAGTCAGAACTGAACTGTAACGCAGATGGACTTTCCAGGTTACCACTACCTGTGGTCAAGCCAGAGTCACTCCAAGTCGACATTCTTTACTTAAGACAAGTGGGAAATGCACCAGTCACTTCAACATAAGGGCTGAGAAACACCAGAAATGACCCGGTGTTATCTGAAGTGATGAACATTATCATCAAAGGTAAAGCCGCAGGAGATGCTCCAGAACTGAAACCTTACCTTTTGAGGAGAGCTGGGCTGTCAGTACAGTCCAGTTGTCTGCTGTGGGGGAGGAGAGTTATCATTCCGCCTTCACTGAGGAAACCAGTGTTGCAAAAGCTACACTCAGGTCATTGTGGAATGGTTCTCATGAAGGAAATCGCACAAAGCTACTTTTGGTGACCTGGATTGGATGGAAAAATTGAGAAGAAAGCGAAAACATGGTCCTCATGTCAGAACATTCGCAACGTACCTCAACTTGCACCTCTTCATCCGTGGGATTGGCTGGAGGAGGCATGGCAACGCACATACATGAACTTTGCAGGTCCTTTCAAAAGCCAATGTTTCTCGAGGTTGTGGAGGCTCATAGCAAGTGGCCAGAGGTTGCCATCATGAGCTCTACTACTGCAGAGAAGACCATTGAGAAGATTGAAAAAGTCTTTAGACATTTCGTATCGTCACTCCAACTCGTTAGCGACAACGGACAGTAGCTAGTGTCCCAAGAAATGGCCACGTTCCTACAGCTGAATGGCGTACAACACATTAGGACGCAAAGGAGACAGTGCGAAGTCAAGAGAGTCAAACATTGTGAACTGAGAGCAAAGGACAGCGCTTACAATCCTGGAGAAATTGTCTTAGCTAAGAACTACCTCAATGGACCAAAGTGGAATCCTGCTACACTCATTGCTTAGAATGGTCCTATGTCCTACACTGTCTAGACTGCAGAGGACATAATCTGGAAAAGGCACACAGATCAGTTACTGTTGAGTAAAGCAACACCGACAGAACAACAGTCCAGAACTGTTACTGGTTGACACCTTGACCCAGCAGTCATCACCTAGGGGCTCACAGTCACGTTCTCAGGACATTGACTCAGTCGCACACACACAAGTACATGACGAGACTGTGACACAGGCTACCCAAATGCCTACACCTGTGTCACTGCCACAATCTAAATACATTGTTATTGAGAGTCTGGTTGACCACCGTTATCCTACAAGTGATAGCCGGGCACCTAGATGCTTGGACTTGTCGAACACACTCTTCTACAGTTCATGTGAGTGTGTTGTGTATTAGGGTTGTACCATTTGCACCTCCGTATATACCGTAGTTGATACGCCAAGCTTCATAGGTAATATGTGTTGAGATGAGCACGTTTGATATAAATGGTTGAACTAATTCCTATCTCCTGTCTCATCATTATTTAATTGTTATACACTATATATACAAAAGTATGTGGACACCTCTTCAAAAGAGTGGATTCGGGCTATTTCAGCCACAGTCGTTGCTGAAAGGTGTATAACATTTCTGCCCAGCTAGAGCTACACCCCGGTCAACTGTAAGTGGTGTTATTGTGAAGTGGAAACGTCTAGGAGCAACAACGGCTCAGCCGCGAAGTGGTAGGCCACACAAGCTCACAGAACGGGACTGCCAAGTGCTGAAGTAAAAATGAAGTAAAAATCGTCTGTCCTCGGTTGCAACACTCACTATCGAGATACAAGACTGCCTCTGGAAGCAACGTCAGCACAATAACTGTTCGTCGGGAGCTTCATGAAATGGGTTTCCATGGCCGAGCAGCCGCACACAAGCCTAAGATCACCATACGCAATGCCAAGCGTCGGCTGGAGTGGTGTAAAGCTCACCGCCATTGGACTCTGGAGCAATGGAAACACGTTCACTGGAGTGATGAATCACGCTTCACCATCTGGCAGTCCGACAGACGAATCTGGGTTTGGCGGATGCCAGGAGAACGCTACCTGCCCTAATGCATAGTGCCAACTGTAAAGGCTGTTTTTCATGGTTCGGGCTAGGCCCCTTAGTTCCAGTGAAGGGAAATCTTAACGCTACAGCATACAATGACATTCTAGATGATGCTATGCTTCCAACTTTGTGGCAACAGTTTGGGGAAGGCCCTTTCCTGTTTCAGCATGACAATGCCCCCGTGCACAAAGCAAGGTCCATACAGAAATGGTTTGTCGAGATCGGTGCGAAATAACTTGATTGGCCTGCACAGAGCCCTGTCCTCAACTCCATCGAACACCTTTGGGATGAATTGGAACGCCGACTGCGAGCCAGGCCTAATTGCCTAACATCAGTGCCCGACCTCACTAATGCTCTTGTGGCTGAATGGAAGCAAGTCCCCGCAACAATGTTCCAACATCTAGTGGAAAGCCTTCCCGGAAGAGTGGAGGCTGTTATAGCAGCAAAGGAGGGACCAACTCCATATTAATGCCCATGATTTTGGAATGAGATGTTTGACGAGCAGGTGTCCACCTACCTTTATTCATGTAGCGTAGATAGGTTAACTGACAACATCACGAAAACGATGCACACACTTCAATGGGGCAGAAGTCCTTGCGTTGTTGAGATTCTGGATGGCCAGATAGCTACCAACAATGACAAGAAACTGCCATGTAGGGAATGGTAAGTGACTGGTTTCAGCTAGTTGAATACCATGTCTTGTTTTCAGGTGTTTTAGTTGATTTCATATCAATGCTAACATGTCAAAAATATTGCTATAACCAACAACTGTAACAATGTATTTGATAGACAACAAGTGCTCATTGTGCGAATTTATTTATGTTTTCAATCAACTTTGGAGACGAAATATAGTTTACATATTGTCAACAATCGAAGCCAACCCGGTCTGTCTTGCCCCATAGTTGCGCATGCGTCGGTTTTGTTGCTATACAACCAACCCGTCTATAAAGACAGATGTGGTTATGAAACCCATGAGACATACTGTAACAATATGCAACATCGAAGAGTATATTGAACTAATGACAATATCCCTTATTGTGTATTTTTTATTTACATTGTGTGTCATTATATTTCCCCCTTGTATTTAGCATAAAAATAAGGTGCATTTCACATTCACACCAAATGGTGTTATACACTACCATGACCTTGACAATGTGAATTGCAATGGCATCCAGTAAATAAAACCATATGCATTTAATATTCACTGAGGTCCGCCGGCGCATGCGACTTCACATAAACTAATATGCAGAGAGAGCGGAGCAGACAATACACTCGCTGCTAATAACCAGATAGCCTATCGTATTGGAGCTGAACGCACCGTCAGTGAGTTCGGGACAGTTCGGTTCCTTTGCTGCTGTTCCTATTTTGAAAACCATTCTGCCAAACGAACGTTTTGGCAAAGAAGACTGCATTTTACGCGAAAGCTTGATGCGGAAAACACAATTCAATGAGAGGAGAATGGGGAATATTCAAGCTGATTAATATTTGTGGCAATGCGTTACCTTTACTTTTTTCATTCCCTGACAGCTTTAACCGTTGATGACACCAGCCTCACATATTTTGTTTTTCAACTTTCTATTCTGACTAATGATGACGACTAGTTGTGATGCGAGCTGAATTGGGAAACTGTGGACAAGGACCTCCGACGCCGGTGTGAATCAATTACACTTTCACTGGAAAAATTGTTCCTCCTCATTTTTAGGGAGTGGTTCACCAGGGCGACCAACTTTCACTGACACCACAGGACGCATGATGTGTCCAAACTAAAGTCCATATTATGCTCAGTAACGCAGTCTCCAAAAGGACTGCACAACCTTAGCGCAATTATATCTAGAGTCATATCCTCCTAGGGCGGATCGAATAAGACAGAACGCCATGCGTAAACAAGAGTTCCAGTGGCTCCCCGAATTCCATAAAGGAATACTAGGACTTCTCCACCCTGTCTTTCTAAAGTACTAGCAGCACCAGACAACCGGACTGCCAGGCTACCGACAGGATGCAGTCTGGTCTGCCGCCCGCCCAAGCCCTTTACATCGGGATGGAGGTGATTATCGCCCTGTCCTCCGTGATCGGGAACGTGATGGTGGTCTGGGCGGTACGGATCAACCGTTCTCTGAGGGACACCACCTTCTGTTTCATAGTGTCTCTGGCTCTGGCGGATATTGCGGTGGGGGCTTTGGTCATCCCGTTGGCCATCACCATCAGCATCGGGCTCAAAACGCACTTCTACAGCTGCCTGCTGGTCGCGTGCACCGTGCTGGTGCTCACGCAGAGTTCCATCCTCGCTCTGCTAGCTATCGCTATCGACCGTTACCTGAGAGTCAAAATACCCATGAGGTAAAAAATGAGAGAAAGAAAGGGGATAGCCTTTATATTGTGCTTTTCTTTTTGTCTCTGTTTGAAAGCTTTCTTTTCCAAGGTCACTGGGGCAAACATCTGTCTCGTTTGTCTGTTGGCAATTGGATCTGAGATATTGTGCAGTATATGGCTATTTTGTTGCCTGATTACCGAATAGGCTACTCAGCCTATTTATTATAGCTGAAACTATGCAGCCTATTGATAGTTTTGGCAGACAGGCACAGTCAGCCCTCAGACAGAGATACTAAAACATCACCCACAGACAGACCATACAGACAGTGTTATGCACAATACATAGCCAGTCTCAGTTGAGGTATTTGTATTTATTATGGATCACCATTAGCTGCTGCCAAGGCAGCAGCTACTCTTCCTGGGGTCCAGCAAAATTAAGGCAGTTATACATTTTAAAAACATTACAATGCATTCATAACAGATTTCACAACATATTAAGTTTGTGCCCTCAGGCATCTACTCTACTACCACATATCTATAACACAAAATACATGTGTATGTGTGTGTATAGTGCGTATGTTATTGTGTGTTTGTATGCATGTGTCTATGTTTGTGTTGCTTCATAGTCCATAAGGTGTATTTTTATCTGTTTTTTAAATCTAATTGTACTGCTGGCATGAGTTACTTGATGTGGAATAGAGTTCCATGTAGTCATGGCTCTATGTAGTACTGTGTGCCTCCCATAGTCTGTTCTTGACTTGGGGACTGTGAAGAGACCTCTGGTGGCATGTCTTGTGGGGTATGCATGGGTGCCAGTAGTTCAAACAGACAGCTCGGTGCATTCAACATGTCAAGTGATGAAGTCAATCTCTCCTCCACTTTGAGCCAGGAGAGATTGACATGCATATTATTAATGTTAGCGCTCTGTGTACATCCAAGGGTCAGCCGTGTTGCCCTGTTCTGAGCCAATTGCAATTTTCCTAAGTCCCTCTTTGTAGAACCTGCCTTGTTGATAGTGCTGTTAAGAAGGCAGAGCAGCGCTTTATTATGGACAGACTTCTCCCCATCCTAGCTACTGTTGATTCAATATGTTTTGACCATGACAGTTTACAATCCAGGGTTACTCCAAGCAATTTAGTCTCCTCAACTTGCTCAATTTCCACATTATTCATTACAATATTTAGTTGAGGTTTAGGGTTTAGTGAATGACTTGTCCCAAATATAATGCTTTTAGTTTTTGAAATATTTAGGACTAACTTATTCCTTGCCACCCATTCTGAAACTAACTGCAGTCCTTTGTTAAGTGTTGCTGTCATTTCAGTCACTGTGGTAGCTGACGTGTATAGTGTTGAGTCATCCGCATACATAGACACACTGGCTTTACGCAAAGCCAGTGGCATGTCGTTAGTAAAGATTGAAAAAAGTTATCTCAGCCAATCATCATTCATTTGTGTAAGTGCTGTGCTTGTTGAATGTCCTTCCCTATAAGCGTGCTGACAGTCTGTTGTCAATTTGTTTACTGTAAAATAGCATTTTATCTGGTCAAATACAATTTTTCCAAAACTTTACTAAGGGTTGGTAACAGGCTGACTGGTCGGCTATTTGAGCCAGTAAAGGGGGCTGTACTATTCTTAGGTAGGGGAATAACTTTTGCTTCCCTCCAAGCCTAAGGGCACACACTTTCTTGTAGGCTTAAATTGAAGATATGGCAAATAGGAGTGGCAATATCGTCCGCTATTATCCTCAGTAATTTTCCATCCAAGTTGTCAGACCCAGGTGGCTTGTCATTGTTGATCGACAATAATACTTTTTTCACCTCTTCCACACTTACTTTACGGAATTCAAAATTACAATGTTTGTCTTTCATAATTTGGTCAGATATACTTGGATGTGTAGTGTCAGTTTTTGTTGCTGGCATGTCATGCCTAAGTTTACTAATCTTGCGAAGGAAAAAATCATTAAAGTAGATGGCAATATCAGTCGGTTTTGTGATGAATGAGCCATCTGATTCATTGAATGATGGAGCGGAGTTTGCCTTTTTGCTCAAAATTTCATTTAAGGTGCTCCAAAGCTTTTTACTATCATTCTTTATGTCATTTATCTTTGTTTCATAGTGTAGTTTCTTCTTCTTTTTATTCAGTTTAGATTTCTCAATCTGCAGTATGTTTGCCAATCAGTTGTACAGCCAGACCTATTTGCCATCTCTTTTGCCTCATCCCTCTCAACCATACAATTTTCAATTCCTCATCAATCCACGGAGATTTAACAGTTTTTACAGTCATTTCCTTAATGGGTGCATGCTTATTAGTAACTGGGATAAGCAATTTCATAAATGTGTCAAGTGCATCGTCTGGTTGCTCGTCATTACACACCACAGACCAACAAATATTATTCACATCAACAACATAGGAATCACTACAAAACTTATTGTATGACCTCTTATACACTATATTAGGCCCAGCCTTTGGAACTTTGGTTTTCCTAGATATGGCTACTATATTGTGATCACTACATCCGAAGGATCTGGATACTGCTTTCAAACAAATTTCTGCAGCATTAGTAAAGATATGATCAATGATTTCATTCCTGTACTGTTTGTAACTACCCTGGTATGTTGATTGATACCCTTAACCAGGTTGCAGGCACTAGTTACAGTTTGAAGCATTCTCTTGAGTGGGCAGCCTGATGAAAACCAGTCAATATTTAAATCACTCAGAAGGTACACCTCTCTATTGATATCACATATTTTATCAATAATTTCACACATGTATCCAGATACTGACTGTTAGCACTTGGTGGTCTATAGCAGCTTCCCACCAGAATGGGCTTTAGGTGAGGTAGGTGAACCTGTAGCCATATTACTTCAACCGTATGTAACATGAGATCCTCTCTAAGCTTTACAGGAATGTGGTTCTGAATATAGACCGTAACTCTGCCCCCATTGGCATTTCTGTCTTTTCTGTAAATGTTATAACCTTTTATTGCTACCACTGTATCATCAAAGGTATTATCTAAGTGAGTTTCAGAGATTGTCAGAATATGAATGTCATCTGTTACTAGCAAATGATTGATTTCATGAACCTTGGGCTATTTTTAGCTTTTTCTTGCTTTACTGAGAAGCTTATCAGAGGTAGACATACTCTAGTTATTTTTTATTAGTGCAGGGTGAGCTCCACACATTGGACTTCCTATTAATCAAATCAAATCAAATCAAATTTTATTGGTCACATGCGCCGAATACAACAGGTGCAGACATTACAGTGAAATGCTTACTTACAGCCCTTAACCAACAGTGCATTTATTTTTAACAAAAAAAGTAAAAATAAAACAACAACAAAAAAAGTGTTGAGAAAAAAAGAGCAGAAGTAAAATAAAATAACAGTAGGGAGGCTATATATACAGGGGGGTACCGGTGCAGAGTCAATGTGCGGGGGCACCGGCTAGTTGAGATAGTTGAAGTAATATGTACATGTGGGTAGAGTTAAAGTGACTATGCATAAATAATTAACAGAGTAGCAGCAGCGTAAAAAGGATGGGGTGGGGGTGGGGGGGGGGCAGTGCAAATAGTCCGGGAGCCATGATTAGCTGTTCAGGAGTCTTATGGCTTGGGGGTAGAAGCTGTTGAGAAGTCTTTTGGACCTAGACTTGGCACTCCGGTACCGCTTGCCGTGCGGTAGCAGGGAGAACAGTCTATGACTAGGGTGGCTGGAGTCTTTGACAATTTTGAGGGCCTTCCTCTGACACCGCCTGGTATAGAGGTCCTGGATGGCAGGAAGCTTGGCCCCAGTGATGTACTGGGCCGTACGCACTACCCTCTGTAGTGCCTTGCGGTCGGAGGCCAAGCAGTTGCCATACCAGGCGGTGATGCAACCAGTCAGGATGCTCTCGATGGTGCAGCTGTATAATTTTTTGAGGATCTGAGGACCCATGCCAAATCTTTTCAGTCTCCTGAGGGGGAATAGGCTTTGTCGTGCCCTCTTCATGACTGTCTTGGTGTGTTTGGACCATGATAGTTCGTTGGTGATGTGGACACCAAGGAACTTGAAGCTCTCAACCTGTTCCACTACAGCCCCGTCGATGAGAATGGGGGCGTGCTCAGTCCTCTTTTTTTTTCCTGTAGTCCACAATCATCTCCTTTGTCTTGGTCACGTTGAGGGAGAGGTTGTTGTCCTGGCACCACACGGCCAGGTCTCTGACCTCCTCCCTATAGGCTGTCTCATCGTTGTCGGTGATCAGGCCTACCACTGTTGTGTCGTCGGCAAACTTAATGATGGTGTTGGAGTCGTGCCTGGCCATGCAGTCATGGGTGAACAGAGAGTACAGGAGGGGACTGAGCACGCACCCCTGAGGGGCCCCCGTGTTGAGGATCAGTGTGGCAGATGTGTTGTTACCTACCCTTACCACCTGGGGGCGGCCCGTCAGGAAGTCCAGGATCCAGTTGCAGAGGGAGGTGTTTAGTCCCAGGATCCTTAGCTTAGTGATGAGCTTAGAGGGCACTATGGTGTTGATCACTGAGCTGTAGTCAATTAACAGCATTCTCACGTAGGTGTTCTTTTTGTCCAGGTGGGAAAGGGCAGTGTGGAGTGCAATAGAGATTGCATCATCTGTGGATCTGTTGGGGCGGTATGCAAATTGGAGTGGGTCTTGGGTTTCTGGGATAATGCTGTTGATATGAGCCATGACCAGCCTTTCAAAGCACTTCATGGCTACAGACGTCAGTGCTACGGGTCGGTAGTCATTTAGGCAGGTTATCTTAGAGTCCTTGGGCACGGGGACTATGGTGGTCTGCTTGAAACATGTTGGTATTACAGACTCAGTCAGGGACATGTTGAAAATGTCAGTGAAGACACTTGCCAGTTGGTCAGCACATGCTCGGAGTACACGTCCTGGTAATCCGTCTGGCCCTGCGGCCTTGTGAATGTTTACCTGCTTAAAAGTCATACTCACATCGGCTACGGAGAGCGTGATCACATAGTCATCCGGAACAGCTGGTGCTCTCATGCATGCTTCAGTGTTGCTTGCCTCGAAGCGAGCATAGAAGTGGTTTAGCTCGTCTGGTAGGCTTGTGTCACTGGGCAGCTCGCGGCTGTGCTTCCCTTTGTAGTCTGTAATAGTTTTCAAGCCCTGCCACATCCGACGAGCGTCAGAGCCAGTGTAGTACGATTCAATCTTAGCCCTGTATTGACTCTTTGCCTGTTTGATGGTTCGTCGGAGGGCATAGCGGGATTTCTTATAAGCGTCCGGGTTAGAGTCCCGTTCCTTGAAAGCGGCAGCTCTACCCTTTAGCTCAGTGCGGATGTTTCCTGTAATCCATGGCTTCTGGTTGGGGTATGTACGTACGGTCACTGTGGGGACGACATCATCGATGCACTTATTGATGAAGCCAGTGACTGATGTGGTGTACTCCTCAATGCTGTCTGAAGAATCCCGGAACATGTTCCAGTCTGTGCTAGCAAAACAGTCCTGTAGCTTAGCATCTGCGTCATCTGACCACTTTTTTATTAACCGAGTCACTGGTGCTTCCTGCTTTAGTTTTTGCTTATAAGCAGGAATCAGGAGGATAGAGTTATGGTCAGATTTGCCAAATGGAGGGCGAGGGAGAGCTTTGTATGCGTCTCTGTGTGTGGAGTAAAGGTGGTCTAGAGTTTTTTTTCCTCTGGTTGCACATTTAACATGCTGGTAGAAATTAGGTAGAACGGATTTAAGTTTCCCTGCATTAAGTTTCCCTGCACACCACCTCAGTCCTAACAATATTACTCTGGTTCATAGGCATATGAGTACTGCATACAATAGCTGTAGGATCAGCAGAGGCATTCCGGGCAGTAAGAGGGACATAAATTAGGTTATTTACATTGTGTCTTCCAATGCCCATGGGATAATGTACATTTGCTGAATCATTATGACAACTCAGCGACACAATGGTAGGGATTAAATGAGCTGGACTTGGGTCATTGATAAGTCATTGTCTCAACGCAGCCTTATAATGCTGTGAAAGGATCCAGGAACCCAAATGATCTGGGTGGATCCCATCCTCCTTATAATACGAGCTTTGTTTCCAGAAGGTATCGAAATTGTCAAAAAATTTTACACCCACAGAGCTGGAATAGTCTCGTAGCAGTAGTCTCATAGGTCAAGTCCATGTTCATCATAGTCAAAGTGAGATGTGTGTTGTAGACCTGCTCTGTTTCTCTTTGAGGGCATTTCATAGCTGTTGAATTCCACACCAGTTATGCAGTCTCCTAATGAGAGTTAAAACCTTACCATGTGTTGACCAGCCAGGCCCCTCGCACACACCAGCCTGGTCTCATAGACTAGACACAATATAGTAAACTTAAATCCAGCACACTCAAATTAGTATTATGCTGTATGTTAAATTTGGTATGGTTACGTAATACAAAAGGTTACTTAAGGGTGGTTGGTTGGGGTGGATGGGTAAGCGTATTACATGAACGTCAAGCAACCTGAAGGTTGTGAGTTCGAATCTCATCACGGACAACTTTAGCATTTTTGCTAATTAGCAACTACTTACTACTTTTTAGCAACTTTGCATGTTAGCTAACCTTTCCCCTAACCTTAACCCTTTATCCTAACTCCTAACCCTAACCCCTAGCATTAGCATTAGCCACCTAGCTAACGTTAGCCACAACAAACTGGAATTCGTAACATATCATACTAATTGTAATTCGTAACATATTGTATGAATTGCAATTCGTAATATATTATACTAATTGTAATTCATAACATATCATAAGAAATGGATAATGGACTTCCACAAATTTAATATATACCATAGATATCATACTAATTGGAGTGTCCCGGATTTACATGTACAATGTTACTTCTACCCGAGTCCAGGTTGCACACACGTCCAATAGCACATGGAGTAGCCTACATGTGTAGAAGTAACAGTAAGACGAAATAAGAAATTCATTCAATTATCACATTCCATTTTCAATTAGCTCTTAGGCTGCATGTAGGTTTTAGCAAGTCGGAATGTTCAGAACTGAATGACCAAATCAACTCAGTGGCTTAGTTTGATAGGTTTGATAGGTTTGATAGGTTTGATAGGTTTGAGGCGGTTTGTTTGACTAATGAGGAAGATTCAATAGAGGAGAAATTGGGGAAAATGTATTTTCTTAGTGTGATGAGTACTGAGGATACGAAGAGGCAGGACACAGACGCAGGAATCAACAATGTAAAGGTTTACTTAACACTGAGCAAGAGAACAACAACGAGCGAGTACACGACAAAACACTAACAATCACACACAACACAACACTGAACAGTCCAGGGCTATATAGGGGTGGTGATGAGATGATGAGGTGCAGGTGCACTGGAGGTGATTAGGGTGCATTGGGTTTCCATTCTAGTGGTGCCGAGGTGGTGCGCTCAGACCGGTGGCTCAGTAGACCGGCGAATCAGAGCACCGGATGGGAGCAACAGGAGGAGACGTGACACGTAGTTGGTTTTCCAGGTTCGGGGGAGATTAAATGGAATGCATTGCGCACTTGAACGAGTGATAAATCATGCATTGGAATCAACATAAGATTGTTTTGACAAGCTACACTTTCACAGAGCACTGATGATTCAGCGCAAACTGTAGCAGGGTTGATTTCCAAATAACCAATAGTACAGAAAATATTGATTTTCACATCATGTAGGTTAGGTTTATCAATGTGTTTGGAGAAATATGAGCAATTTAGATACATGATAGAGATATGATATAGAAAAAGCAAACCACCCACACACTGGCATTCTTGTTCACTCCAGAATACTTGATGAACTGTCTCGTGACAGAAACATTGGTATACCCAATGTTTACCCATTCAAATACATCCCACTGGGCAAAAAATTGTTCAATCAACTTTGTTTACTCGTCATTTCAACCAAACAAATCAATGTGATGATGTTGAATCAATGTGGAGAAATGATTGGATTTGGAAAAAATCATCAACGTAAGGACATTTCATATAAACATTTAACCTAAATCCAATGACATGGTGACATTTGTTGTTGATTTCACATGGAATTCACGTTAGTTGACAACTCAACCAAATGTAAATCAAAACTAGACGTTGAACTGACATCTGTGCCAAGTGGGATGTATTATAGAGGAGACAAGTACATCAGTATATTGGTATATAGTCAGTATAGATTCTCTTTTATAAAATCACCAATAACTAGGCTGCATTATCCCCATCCTAACAAATAAAGCATTTGAGATCCTTAAAGGCCAAAATCGTGATTTGCACAGCTTGCCTGTAAAAGGGAGCTACAGTTCATTTGAATGAATTGAATGCATGATTGATCAATGTGATTATTGTGGTTGGTTGGCTGATCTGAATATGTAATGTCTCAGGCCTCTGAATCTAACATAGGATGCATCCCAAATGTTATCCTATTCCTTATGGGTCCTGGTCAAAAGTAGTGAACTATATAGGGAACAGGGTGCCATTTGAGACCCTCATTTATTACAGGAGTTGATAGTGAAAGGGTCCAATTAGTAAACAACGGTTGCCAGAAACTGTTCCTTGCATATGAATGCACAGGGAAACACTAAAGATACAGATTAATGAAAGGACTTATTGAAAACATATTTTAGAAACAACGTTTACTGGATAATTGATGTGCACTTAAGGAAGATAACCTAAGCACTCATTCATTGACCGACTGCTTCTTAGGAGATTGTGAACGCGCTTGTGTGTGTGTGTGTGTGTGTGTGTGTGTGTGTGTGTGTGTGTGTGTGTGTCCTCAGTGACATTACGAGACTGGTGTGTGTGTGTGTGTGACATTGAGTGGCAGTGAGTGTTTTATATCCTGGCAGCCCTGTGGCAGATTACTCAATGGGTTCTCCTTCTCCTTCCTGTGAGAGACCATTCATCCTCAGAGGTGTATGCGTCACACCACCCACTGTGTGTGTGTGTGTGTGTGTGTGTGTGTGTGTGTGTGTGTGTGTGTGAGAGAGAGAAAGCGAGAGAGGGAGAGGGAGGGAGAGGGGGAGGGAGAGAGAGAATGTGTGAGAGAGACTAGAAGGGGAGAGAGAGTACGTAGAGAGTCAGTAGGTCTGGCAAGGAGACGGCAAAGGAGTGTGTGTTTCTGTGAGTGTGTGAGAAAGAGAATGTGTGGGTATATGCAGGTTTCTCTTGAGATGATTTACTCGTTGTCTGAGGGTGTGTGAGTTCTACTTTCATGCCTCAGAGAAGCAGCTCCTTCAGCAAACTCACACAAACCAAAGATGTACATCTAACAGCAGTGCTTCATCTGCTCTGGTGTGTGAGCAGAGCACATCAGTTCATACCTCCTGTATAGTGACTCAGCTATGACCTTCAAAAGGAGGAAAGAATCACAGATTTGGATTCTAAACTTGGATGTAATTCAGAAGTTTGACAGGGTAGTAGACAGTCTAGTGAGGTACCGATGTACCGTACCATGGATTGCAGAACACGGTGGATACAAGCCAATTGCAGTGATTCTCTTCTCGGAACATTAGTCAGTCAGCCAAGACTTGGAGCTTGTTGGATTTACTCTCATATCCAGTAGCGGTCCGTGGTTCAAATCCAAGCCCCCTCCCCCCAAAAAGCCATATTACAACCTATGTGTTGTGATAATTGCGTTGTTTGCTCTTTAACCTGTTAATCCATATACCTTGCGACCGTGATATATAGGCCTAAAGGCCGAGACAATAAGAAGACACAGTGGCAGAATAAATTCAACCACACCTTTGTTTTATCACAAAACTGGATAGCAACCTCTGTCCGGTGAAGTCCACAAAGCATATGCTATGTAACAGACAGTTACGTGACCTACAGCATGGTCAAGCAAGTTAATGTTTCGGACCGCTAAACAACTGTTGATTTAGAACCACAGTTACCATAAGTCGCAAAGAAAACAGGAGCTGCCTCCACTATTCCAGCACCATTTCAACATCATCAAATCACCTCTACTTAGTCTAATACAGTGACAACTAAAAGATGCCAAAAACTAAATGGAGACTTAAATATCCTGACCTAGTGAGATATACATGGCGGAGACTCAATCAAGCTAGTCGTCTTGACTTCTTTCTTATGTCATTCTCGTTGGCACCAAAAGTTTAAAAAGTGTTGATAGGGGACAGAATGCGGTCAGACCATCATATAATTGGCATATACATTACTCTTACTGAATTTCCACGTGGGCCGAGGATATTGGAAATTTTATCAAAGCCTATTGGATGATAACTTGTTTTTAACTAGGACAGAGGAATTTATAACTAATTTTTTTCCCGACATAACATAGGTACAGCAAATCCCCTTATTGTATGGGACACTTTTAAATGTGCCTTTAGAGGACATGCAATTCAGTACTCATCTCGAAAACAAAAGCAATTTAGGTCAAAAGAGTTTATACTAACAAAGGAAATAGAAGGTCTAACAGAACAGATAGATAGCAATAAAAACAGTAACAAAGGCTCAGAATAAATGAGAGGAAAAACAAAAAGAAATGGAGAAACTTATTCAAGAAAGATCAAGTGTAATATATTATAAAAAATTAAGCAAACTGGATGGAATATGGGGAAAAATGCACCAAATTATTTTTTTATCTTCAACATAGAAATGCTACCAAAAAGAATTTACTGAAACTGGTTACAAATGACGAAGTCACCCATGATACACCAAATTATATTTTGAAGGAGGAAGCAAAGTACTTTAAGCATATGTTTTCGTTTCAGTCGCCTCCATCTCCTCTAACTGAAGCTAATTGTAGGGATTTTTTTTCTATTGGTAATGTCAAATTAACAGCCATACAGAAAGACTCATGTGAAGGTGAAATTTTTAGCAGATGCTCTTATCGAGAGCGACTTACAGTTAGTGAGTGCATACATTTTCATACTAGATGCAATGAAAGACTAAGTCCGGGAAAACTCCAGGATTGGATGGCATACCAGTCGAGGTATACCAAACCTTTTTTGATATACTCAGAGGACCGTTATCAGCAAGAAGAAGGTTTGATGTCATTATTACTGAAACAGGATACAAGTGGGAAATATAAAGATCCAGTCCATTTAAAAAATTGGAGGCCCCTTACACTTCAGTGTTGTGATGCAAAAATTCTAGCAAAATGTATAGCGCATAGAATTAAAAAGGTATTGTTGGACATTATTCATTCTAATCAGACAGGCTTTTTACATGGACGATACATTGGAGATAATATAAGGCAAGCACTGGAAACAATAGAACACTATGAAAAATCTGGGAAACCAGGCCTGCTATTCATAGCAGACTTTGAAAAGGCATTTGATAAAGTACGACTGGAGTTTATATATAAATGCCTGGAGCATTTCAATTCTGGAGAATCTCTTATAAAATGGATTAACATCATGTATAGTAACCCTAGGTGTAAAATAGTAAATAATGGCTATTTCTCAGAAAGCCATTAAGTAAAACAAGGTTATCTACAATCGGCATATCTATTTATTATGAAATGTTAGCTATTAAAATCAGATCCAACAATAATATCAAGGGATTAGAAATCCAAAGTTTAAAAACAAAGGTGTCATTGTATGCTGATGATTCATGTTTTCTTTTAAATCCACAACTTGAATCCCTCCACAGCCTCATAGAGGATCTAGATACATTTTCTAATTTTCTTACAACCAAATTATGATAAATTTACTATATTGCGTATTGGATCACATAAAAATACAATTTTTACATTACCATGTAGTTTACCAATAAAATGGTCTGATGGTGATGTGGATATACTCTGAATACATATCCCAAATGAAATACATTTTCTCACTCCAATACATTTTAATAGAAAGTTAGCAAAAATAGATAAGATCTTGCTACCATGGAAAGGTAAATACCTGTCTATTTGTGGAAAAATCACCCTGATTAACTCTTTAGTATTATCCCAGTTTACCTATTTGCTTATGGTCTTGCCTACGCCTAGCGAACAGTGTTTTAAATGATATGAGAAAAAATATTCAATTTTATTTGGAACGGCAAGACAGACAAAATTAAACGGGCCAATTTATATAATGAATATGAATTCGGAGGACAGAAATGATTAAATATTAAAGCAATAGACCTATCACTAAAAGCTTCAGTCATACAAAAGTTATACTTAAATCCAAACTGGTTCTCTAACAAATTAGTAAGATTGTCTCACCCCATGTTCAAGAATGGCCTTTTTCCCTTTATTCAGATTACAAACTCTCACTTTCAGTTATTTGAAAAGGAAATAATCCCCAAAATATCACTATTTCTAAAACAAGCCATAGAAAGTTGGTTGCAATTTTATTCTCCAGAAACGACAGAACAAATAATGCAATAAATATTGTGGTTAAACTCAAATATACTAATTGATAAAAATGTTTAAAAAAGGTATAATCGTCGTAAATGATATCATAGGTAGGACTGGTGAAGTTATGTCACACATGCAGCTAACAAAACATATGGAAAAACAAAACGACGCCGGATTCAAAACTTAGAATTTTTCAATTTAAATTATTATTCAAAATTCTTGTTACCAATAGAATGTTATTTATATGGGGGATACAATCTTCCCAGCTCTGCAGATTTTGCTGCGAAGAGACAGAGATAATTTGTTTTGGTACTGTCCATTTGTAGGATTACAATATTTAGCTGGAGCTAACCCTGCAGATAGCACTACTGGGTGATCTGAAAAGTCATAGTCAATCGATCAATAATATAATAATACTTTTAGCAAAAATGTTTATTTTCAATTTACAATCTGTAGAAATAATGAGAATAGAAGAATAGAAATCCAAAATTGATGGTGTTAAGATATAGATGGGAGGTGTTGAATGGAGCTGAAGGATGGGACTAATAACAACTAACAACAACTAATAACAACAAGATAACTAATGTAAAGCATACTGTGTCCATAGAAGTATATAGGTTATAGGTTGAGAGCTTTTGTGAAAGAGCACTGTTAGAAAGATATGGCATATAGAAGCAAACCGGATGGACATCATGAAAATGATCGGAGAGGTTGAGGGTAGAGGAAGTTCAGGAGTAAAAACAAACAAAATATAATTATTGTAAAATTGACTGTCTCCATAAAATGTATATAGTATGTATAAGCTGGAAGTAGAGGCCTAAGTGTTGTTGTTCACTAGTTTACTCCAATTAGGGAAGGGGTGGTGGGGTTGGAAAGTAATAAAGGGAAATATATTATAAAAAAGGATATGTACATATATATGTATGTACACTACCGTTCAAAAGTTTGGGGTCACTTAGAAATTTCCTTGTTTTCGAAAGAAAATCAATATTTTTTGTCCATTAAAATAACATAAAATTGATCAGAAATACAGTGTACACATTGTTAATGTTGTAAATGGCTATTGTAGCTGGAAACGGCTGATCTTTAATGGAATATCTACATAGGCGTACAGAGGCCCATTATCAGCAACCATCACTCCCGTGTTCCAATGGCACGTTCTGTTTGCCATATCTCAGACTGGCCAATAAAAGGAAAAGATTAAGATGGGCAGTCTGACATATGGCTTTTTCTTTGCAACTCTGCCTAGAAGGTCAGCATCCCAGAGTCGCTTCTTCACTGTTGAAGTTGAGACTGGTGTTTGCGGGTACTCTTTAATGAAGCTGCCAGTTGAAGCCTGTTTCTCAAACTAGACACTCTAATGTATTTGTCCTCTTGCTCAGTTGTGCACCGAGGCCTCCCACTCCTCTTTCTATTCTGGTTAGAGCCTGTTTGCGCTGTTCTGTGACGGGAGTAGTACACAGCGTATTACGAGATCTTCAGTTTCTTGGCATTTTCTCGCATGTTTGGATGCACACGTTCACGTCATGTATGTTATCATTTACTGGAAAATAGTCTGATTAATTTGCTATAAAGATAAAGCTCATACTGCCTTCATTTCTCAGAACAAGAATAGACTGACGAGTTTCAGAAGAAAGTTATTTGTTTCTGGCCAATTTGAGCCTGTAATCGAACCCACAATTGTTGATGCTCCAGATACTCAACTAGTTTCAAGAAGGCCAGTTTTATTGCTTCTTTAATCAGCACAACAACAAAGGGTTTTCTAATGATCAATTAGACTTTTAAAATGATAAACTTGGATTAGCAAACACAACGTGCCATTGGAACACAGGACTGATGGTTGCTGATAATGGGCCTCTGTATGCCTATGTAGATATTCCAGTAAAAATCAGCCGTTTCCAGCTACAATAGCCATTTACAACATTAACAATGTCTACACTGTATTTCTGATCAATTTGATGTTATTTTAATGAACAAAAAAAAGTATTTTCTTTCGAAAACAAGGACATTTCTAAGTGACCCCAAACTTTTGAACGGTAGTGTATGTATATATATATATATATATATATATATATATATACAGTGGGGAGAACAAGTATTTGATACACTGCCGATTTTGCAGGTTTTCCTACTTACAAAGCATGTAGAGGTCTGTAATTTTTATCATAGGTACACTTCAACTGTGAGAGACAGAATCTAAAACAAAAATCCAGAAAATCACATTGTATGATTTTAAAGTAATTCATTTGCATTTTATTGCATGACATAAGTATTTGATACATCAGAAAAGCAGAACTTAATATTTGGTACAGAAACCTGTTTGCAATTACAGAGATCATACGTTTCCTGTACGTCTTGACCAGGTTTGCACACACTGCAGCAGGGATTTTGGCCGACTCCTCCATACAGACCTTCTCCAGATCCTTCAGGTTTCGGGGCTGTCACTGGGCAATACGGACTTTCAGCTCCCTCCAAAGATTTTCTATTGGGTTCAGGTCTGTAGACTGGCTAGGCCACTCCAGGACCTTGAGATGCTTCTTACGGAGCCACTCCTTAGTTGCCCTGGCTGTGTGTTTCGGGTCGTTGTCATGCTGGAAGACCCAGCCACTACCCATCTTCAATGCTCTTACTGAGGGAAGGAGGTTGTTGGCCAAGATCTCGCGATACATGGCCCCATCCATCCTCCCCTCAATACGGTGCAGTCGTCCTGTCCCCTTTGCAGAAAAGCAACCCCAAAGAATGATGTTTCCACCTCCATGCTTCACGGTTGGGATGGTGTTCTTGGGGTTGTACTCATCCTTCTTCTTCCTCCAAACACGGCGAGTGGAGTTTAGACCAAAAAGCTCTATTTCTGTCTCATCAGACCACATGACCTTCTCCCATTCCTCCTCTGGATCATCGGCAAACTTCAGACGGGCCTGGACATGCGCTGGCTTGAGCAGGGGGACCTTGCGTGCGCTGCAGGATTTTAATCCATGACGGCGTAGTGTGTTACTAATGGTTTTCTTTGAGACTGTGGTCCCAGCTCTCTTCAGGTCATTGACCAGGTCCTGCCGTGTAGTTAATAATATAATAATAATAATATGCCATTTAGCAGACGCTTTTATCCAAAGCGACTTACAGTCATGCGTGCATACATTTTTTTTGTGTATGGGTGGTCCCGGGGATCGAACCCACTACCTTGGCATTACAAGCGCCGTGCTCTACCAGCTGAGCTACAGAGGACCACAGTTCTGGGCTGATCCCTCACCTTCCTTATGATCATTGATGTCCCACGAGGTGAACTCTTGCATGGAGCCCCAGACCGAGGGTGATTGACCGTCATCTTGAACTTCTTCCATTTTCTAATAATTGCGCCAACAGTTGTTGCCTTCTCACCAAGCTGCTTGCCTATTGTCCTGTAGCCCATCCCAGCCTTGTGCAGGTTTACAATTTTATCCCTGATGTCCTTACACAGCTCTCTGGTCTTGGCCATTGTGGAGAGGTTGGAGTCTGTTTGATTGAGTGTGTGGACAGGTGTCTTTTATACAGGTAACGAGTTCAAACAGGTACAGTTAATACAGGTAATGAGTGGAGAACAGGAGGGCTTCTTAAAGAAAAACTAACAGGTCTGTGAGAGGAGGAACTTCTGGATGCAATTAAAGACTTTAAGTCCGGGAAAACTCCAGGGTTGGATGGCATACCAATCGAGGTATACCAAACCTTTTTTGATATACTAAGAGGACCGTTATTAGCATGTTTTAACCACTCCTATGTAAATGGTAGATTATCTGACACTCAAGAAGAAGGTCTGATCTCATTATTACTGAAACAGGATACAAGTGGAAAATATAAAGATCCAGTCCATTTACAAAATTGGAGGCCCCTTACACTTCAGTGTTGTGATGCAAAAATCCTAGCAAAATGTATAGCGCATAGAATTAAAAAGGTATTGTCGGATATTATTCATTCTAATCAGACAGGTTTTTTACATGGAAGATACATTGGAGATAATATAAGGCAAGTATTGGAAACAATAGAACACTATGGAAAATATGGGAAACCAGGCCTGCTATTCATAGCAGACTTCGAAAAAGCATTTGATAAAGTTCGACTGGAATTTATATATAAATGCCTGGAGCATTTCAATTTTGGAGAATCTCTTATAAAATGGGTCAAAATCATGTATAGTAACCCTAGGTGTAAAATAGTAAATAATGGCTATTTCTCAGAAAGTTTCAAACTGTCAAGAGGAGTGAAACAAGGTTGTCCACTATCGGCATATCTATTTATTGTGGCCATCGAGATGTTAGCTATTAAAATCAGATCCAATAATAATATCAGAGGATTAGAAATACAGGGCTTAAAAACAAAGGTGTCATTGTACGCAGATGATTCATGTTTTCTTTTAGATCCACAACTAGAATCCCTCCACAGCCTCATAGAGGATCTAGATACATTTTCTAACCTTCTGGATTAAAACCAAATTATGACAAATGTACTATATTACGTATTGGATCACTAAAAAATACAATTTTTACATTACCATGTAGTTTACCAATAAAATGGTCTGATGGTGATGTGGATATACTCGGAATACATATCCCAAAGGAAATAAATGATCTCACTTCAATACATTTTAATAGAAAGTTAGCAAAAATAGATAAGATCTTACTACCATGGAAAGGAAAATACCTGTCAATTTGTGGAAAAATCACCCTGATTAACTCTTTAGTATTATCCCAGTTTACCTATTTGCTTATGGTCTTGCCTACGCCTAGCAAACAGTTTTTGTAAATTATATGAGAAAAAAATATTCAATTTTATTTGGAACGGCAAGCCAGACAAAATTAAAAGAGCATATTTATATAATGAATATGAATTCGGAGGACAGAAATTATTAAATATTAAAGCATTAGACCTATCACTAAAATCTTCAGTCATCCAAAAGTTATACTTAAATCCGAACTGGTTCTCAAGCAAATTAGTAAGATTGTCTCACCCACTGTTCAAGAAAGGCCTTTTTTCCCTTTATTCAGATTACAACCTCTCACTTTCAGTTATTTGAAAAGGAAATAATCTCCCAAATGTCACTATTTCTAAAACAAGCCATAGAAAGTTGGTTGCAATTTCAATTTAATCCTCCAGAAACGACAGAACAAATAATGCAACAAATATTGTGGTTAAATTCAAATATACTAATTGACAAAAAACCTTTATTTTTTGACAGAATGTTTAAAAAAGGTATAATCTTCGTAAATGATATCATCGGTAGGACTGGTGGAGTTATGTCGCACATGCAGCTAACAAAAACATATGGAAATATCTGCTCTACCCAAAATTACAACCAAATAATTGCAGCCTTACCGCAAAAGTGGAAGAGGAAAGTTGAAGGGGGAGAAAGTAAGGAACTTGTCTGTCGGCCTTGCATTAAAGAACATAATTGGTTAAGGAAAACTGTGATAAATAAAAAAGTATATCAGTTTCACTTAAGGACCAAAGGATTGACAGCCATCCCATATAGATTGCAAAATAGTTGGGAAGAGATCTTTGACGTACCGATCCCATGGCATAGTGTTTATGAACTGACACGCAAAACGACACCGGATTCAAAAATTAGAATCTTTCAATTTAAATTATTATATAAAATTCTTGCTACCAATAGAATGTTATTTATATGGGGGATACAATCTTCCCAGCTCTGCAGATTTTGCTGTGAAGAGATAGAATCATTAGATCATTTGTTTTGGTTCTGTCCATTTGTAGCTTGTTTTTGGACACAGGTCCAGGAATGGCTAAAGGATTGCAATATTTACCTGGAACTAACCTTGCAGATAGCATTACTGGGTGATCTGAAAAGTCATAGTCAATCAATCAATAATATAATAATACTTTTAGCAAAAATGTTTATTTTTAATTCACAATCTGTAGAAGCAATGAGAATAGAAAGGTTCAGAACTTTTGTAAAACATCACAGTACGGTTGAAATATATATGGCAAATAGAAATCCTATATGGATGGTGTTAAGAGATAGATGGGAGGTATTGAATAGAGTTGAAGGATGGGACTAATAACAAATAACAACAAATAATAACAAAGATAGCTAATAATGTAAGCATACTGTGTCCATAATAAGTATATAGGTTGTATGTTGGGAGCTTTTGGGAAAGAGCACAGTTAGAAAGATATGGCATTTAGAAGCAAACCGGATGGACATCATGAAAATGATCGGAGAGGTTGAGAGTAGAAGAAGTTCAGGAGCAAAAAAAAAAAAAATATATATATATATATATATATATATATATATATATATATATATATATATATATATATATATATATATATAGAATTATTGTAAAATTAACTCTGTCCATAAGGTGTAGATAGTAAGTATAGACCGGAAGTAGAGGCCTGGGCGTTGTTGTTCACTAATTTACTCCAAGTAGGGAAAGGATGGTGGGGTTGAAAAGTAATAAAGGGGAATATATATATAAAAAATAAAAATAAACATGGGGGATTGGAAGTGATGCAGACAATTACATTGATAGAAGATACAATCTATCTGCAATATTAAGCTGATCCATCCCCCCCCAAAAAAATATATACCGTATTGGTCCGAATATAAGACGACCCTGATTATAAGACGACCCCCCGTTTTTCAACACAAACATTTAGAAAAACAGATTTGCAGACTAGATTTGCCGAACAAAGAACTTCATTTTATTTTAAAATAACAATATTAAAAACACAGTGAATTAAACACAAAGGCAAACTATGTACAGTATGATTCAAAATTAATATCAAGCAATAATAAAGCAACATTTTTAAATAACAGAGAAAATACAGGCCACACATTTAACTAAACTTAACAAAAATTCGCCAAACTTCTCCTCCGATGTCTCTCTATCCCTCACACACGTCCTCTGCCCCGCTGTGTTCGCTCTCGCTGTCATCGCTCCCCAGCTGCTCCGCTTCCACCGGCTCCTCCCAAAGCACGTCGTCCTCGCTGCCGTCCAATGCATTTGAGATGCAACATTTTTTAAAGCCATCGATGATGCTCTGTGAGGGAATAGCATCCCATGCATGCAGGATCCATTCACACAGTAGACGGACTGACGGCTTCTGTATTTTCCCGGTCGGTGTGAGTGCGTGGTTGCCAGACAGGAGCCACTCTGTGTATTTTTTTCGCAGGTTATCCTTGAAAGGCTTGTTCACAACTACGTCCAACACCTGTAGCTGGCTTGTCATTCCCCCTGGTATGATCACAAGATCCCCGTTCATTGCTCGCACCTGACTTTTCACGGGCTCAGTCAGATGTCCGCGGAACGCATCCAGAACGAGCATGTTCCTCCTCTTCCTCAGTCCCCCGTAGCGTGCGCCCCACACAACCTTTAGCCAGTCCACTACAAGCCCCGACTCCATCCAGCCCTTCTCCTGGGCGCGCACAATAATGCCAGCTGGCATTGGGTCCTTTGGCACAGTCTTACGCTTAAGAATGACATACGGGGGGAGTTTGCTGCCACCAGCGAGACATGTCAACATGACAGTGACGCGGCTCTTCTCGTTGCCCGTTGATTTCACCAACACAGACTTTTCTCCCTTTCTATTGACAGTCACCGATGTTGGCATGTCGAAATAAACGGGTGTCTGATCAGCATTGCCGATCTGATCCAGCGGGTAGGAGTGCTTCTTCCTCAGGTTGATAACAAAGCGCTGAAACGAAAGCAGCTTCTCTCCGAAGTCTGACGGCAGGCGTTGGGCCAAACTCGTTCTCCGTCTAAGTGACAGTCCATTACGCCGCATCATCCTACGACACCAGCCGAGGCTGGCTTTAAATCCAGTGATGTTGAGCTCTCTGGCGATTTCCAGGGCCTTAACCTGGATGACAGCTCTGGTAATGGGCATTCCCTCACTTCTTTTTTCCCTGACATATTCAAAAACCCTCCGGTCAACCTCAATGAAACGACCACTTTGAGGACCACGGAAGGATTTTCGCTGACTGTTAGCATCTTTTAGACGTTGTTTTTCTGCTCGCCATCTTCTTACATTACACTCAGTGACCCCGAATGTCTTGGCAGCTTGGCAGTTGTTAGATGACTCTGCCTTATTGACAACCATTATTTTGAAATTGGCATCATAGCTCCTCCGCTGTTGTTTATTGACCTGGCCCACTTTTGAGCCACTTGTCTCTAAATGGTCAGCCTGTCTTTCCATCTTTAAACACCGGTAACGGGCTGGTTGTTAAGGACGCCTCTTCCCTCCGTCCGGAACGAATTTTTGGCGCCATCTGTGCCCGCGAATGTGTATTGACATTTAAAGGGAGCGCCGAAGAAGAGAAACTGCGCTCTGAATACTAGACCCCGAATATAAGACGACCCGACTTTTTTGGACCTATTTCGAGGGGAAAAAAGGCCGTCTTATATTCGGACCAATACGGTATATATATTTGCGAAGAAAATCGCTGTTATAATCATTGGCCAGTACAGAGAATTAAGTAAAACCACAAGTCCAAATCCCTACCTCCATCCATGGCTAATTTAGGAAAGTGCCAATTTTAGCTAGCTAGCTATCCACCGGAGGACAACAACACAACGAGATGCAACAGTTCAAGTTGTTTCTGTCAATGACGTATGCTCTCAACACAAACACGTTTTCTAAGTCAAACAACAAAGCTCTTGAAAGCATGTAAATGGGAACTAAAATATAATGTAAATGGGAACTAAAAGATAATGTAAATGGGAACTAAAATATAATGTAAATGGGAACTAAAAGATAATGTAAATGGGAACTAAAAGATAATGTAAATGGGAACTAAAAGATAATGTAAATGGAAACTAAAAGATCATGTAAATGAGAACTAAAATATAATGTAATGGGAACTAAAAGATAATGTAATGGGAACTAAAATATAATGTAATGGGAACTAAAAGAGGTACAGCACAGTATACACTAACACCTCACCCGTTTTTTGTCTTGTCTCCTGTCTCCATAGCTACAAGCGTGTGGTAACTCCGCGGCGGGCAGGCACGGCGGTGGTGGTGTGTTGGATGGTTGCCATCGTGGTCGGCTTGACGCCCATGCTGGGCTGGAACAACCTGCAGCGTCTCCGTGACAACAGCTCCCTGGTGACCTCTGAGCTCTTAGTGACGTGTCAGTTTGAGAACGTCATCAGCATGGACTACATGGTCTACTTCAACTTCTTCGGCTGGGTGCTGCCGCCCCTCGTCCTCATGCTGCTCATCTATGCTGAGATCTTTTACATGATACACCGGCAGCTCAACAAGAAGGTGATTGGCTAGAACTACAATAACTAGCCTTGTTAAAGCAGACTCACATGAAGTAAAAACAATGGTGACTGCAGCGTTCAGTCTGGTTTAATAATATTATATATAATATGCCATTTAGCAGACGCTTTTATCCAAAGCAACTTACAGTCATGTGTACATACATTTTTACGTATGGCTATAGAATTTTTAACCAGGCTATAGAATCAGATGATCCACTGGCAGCCCGACAAGAAGCATAGCCTGGTCCCAGATCTGTTTGTGTGGTCTTGCCAACTCCTACGGTCATTGTCACATGACATTAACTATAGTAGTTGAAAAGACAGCACAAACAGATCTGAGACCAGGCTACATGAAGGTCACTTGTCTAGACTAGAGTCAGATGAATAGGACAGAATGAACCGAGTGTGTTTGATGAGCACAGCAGGGAAGTAGAGGGAGGTGAAAGGAGTTGGAGGGAGGTAGAGGGCGTTGGAGGGAGGTGGAGGGAGGTAGAGGGAGACGGAGGGAGACAGAGTGAGGTAGAGGGAGGTGGAGTGAGGTAGAGGGAGATGGAGGGAGGTGAAGGGAGTTGAGGGAGGTGAAGGGAGTTGAGGGAGGTGAAGGGAGTTGAGGGAGGTGGAGGGAGGTGGAGGAAGTTGAAGGGAGACTGAGGGAGGTGGAGTGAGGTAGAGGGAGATGGAGTGAGGTAGAGGGAGGTGGAGGGAGGTGAATGGAGGTGGAGGGAGGTAGAGGGAGGTGGAGGGAGGTAGAGGGGAGGTAGAGGGAGGTAGAGGGAGGTAGAGGGAGGGTAGAGGGAGATGGAGTGAGGTAGAGGGAGGTGGAGGGACGGTAGAGGGAGTTGGAGGGGGGGAATAGAGGTGAAGGGAGTTGGAGGGAGGTGGAGTGAGGTAGAGGGAGGTGGAGTGAGGTGGAGGGAGGTGGAGGGAGGTGGAGGGAGGTGGAGGAAGTTGAAGGGAGACTGAGGGAGGTGGAGTGAGGTAGAGGGAGATGGAGTGAGGTAGAGGGAGGTGGAGGGAGGTAGAGGGAGTTGGAGGGAGGTAGAGGGAGTTGGAGGGAGGTAGAGGGAGGTGAAGGGAGGTAGAGGGAGGTAGAGGGAGTTGGAGGGAGTTGGAGGGAAGTGGACGGAGGAAAAGGGAGTTGGAGGGAGGTGGAGGGAGGTAGAGGGAGGTGAAGGGAGTTGGAGGGAGATGGAGGGAGGTGAAGGGAGATGGAGGGAGATGGAGGGAGGTGGAGGGAGGTGGAGGAGGTGGGGGGAGGTGGAGGAGGTGGGGGGAGGGAGGTAGAGGGAGGTGCAGGGAGAGAGGTGGAAGGAGGTGGAGGGAGTTGAAGGGAGGTGAAGGGAGGTGGAGGGAGGTAGAGGGAGTTGGAGGGAGTTGGAGGGAGGTGGAGGGAGTTGGAGGGAGTTGGAGGGAGGTGAAGGGAGGTGAAGGGAGGTGGAGGGAGTTAGGTGGAGGGAGGGAGGCGGAGGCAGGTAGAGGGAGGTGGAGGCAGGTAGAGGCAGTTTACATTTGATGTAGAAATCGCAGTCCTGTGGCGTGCACCAGAAAGGTAACAGGAACAGTTTATCCCCCTCATGGCTGACAACTTAGACAGACATTACTGAGCAGAGGTGCTGATTGTCGGCTGAGAGGACAGGTTTTTAAATCAAGTGTCAACTCACTCCACCCAGGACACACTGCTGTGCAAATCAAACACACTTAGAATACAATACAATGGAATAGAATAACTTTGTTTTTACCAGAGAGAACATTGGTTAACTTGTAAGAATGCATTAAAGATATGTATAATGTTGTAAGGTTGTCCAGAAGACCAGCCTTTGAATCTGAAGTCTAAAATCATCTTCCTCTTCTCCCTCTTCTCCCTCCTATCCCAGGTGACGGCGAGCCACACGGACCCCAGCCGTTACTATGGGAAGGAACTTAAACTAGCCAAGTCCCTGGCCCTGGTCCTCTTCCTGTTTGCCATCAGCTGGCTTCCTCTCCACATCCTCAACTGCATCACGCTGTTCTGCCCGGACTGTAAAAAGCCCATATTCCTTATCTATATCGCCATCCTGCTCACACACGCCAACTCTGCCGTCAACCCCATCGTCTACGCATTCCGCATCAAGAAGTTCCGGAATGCGTTCCGTAAGATCTGGGAACAGTATGTGCTGTGTAAGGACCCGGTGGGCAAGCTGCCCCAGAGAGGGAGTCAGAGGAGCCAGAGCGGAGTGGAGAGGAGGCTGAGGGCGAACGATGACGACGACGACGTCTGATCTGGTGATGAAGATGTTGGGATGTGAACACACTGGATTATTAGTGCAGACGGATCTACATGACAACGGTTTCTATGTTGATTTTCCTGCTGGTTAGAGAATGGTGATTGGATAAAGATGTGGAGGTGGTGGGAGGGATCCTAACCCTGGAGTGATTTGACTGAATAGGGGGGTCCTTAACCTCCGTTTGACCCCACACAGTGAGGGGGTTCTGGCAAGGAATGTTCCAGACTGAGTGTTGAAATGTTACCTCACACAGGGTGGACTGGATTGGCTGAACTAACTATCCACAGGTGACTGGGTTCTGACACCATGGGTTATCTGATTTCTCTCCATTCTAGAATACAGCAGAATGACATCACTCCTATACGACATAATCTAACCTGACGTAAGATAATAACAACTGAACAGAACAATGGAGTCGTCAGGTCACCATGGTGATTAGGATTCCGAATTAAAAGGAAGGAGGAACTACTAACAATGACTCTAACCATCTCCCACTGGCTTAGGGAACAATGATGTCATATGGGCGAAGGGGCTTCCGGAAGGTACCGATAGGAACTTGTTGAACTCAATCATTAAGTGTTTCTTAGTAGCACATAACGCACACTGCTACTTTTAAACAGGGCCCACATAGGCTCTGGTCAAAAGTAGTGCACTATATAGGGTGCCATTTAAGATGCACCCTATGACTACAGTATCGGTGTCAGATGGTTGGAGGGCAGGGCTGCTCCATCTGTGAACTTTGAACTGAACAAAAGAAACATGGCCTTTCTATATGGACAACCTCACATGATCTTTTCACATGATCACAAGCTAAATGTCTCTCTCATTCTGTATATGGAAGAGGAAAAGGTTCATTCCTCCGATACTGAGATGTCAGATTCCATAGCCGTACACACCAAGGGGTACTGAGGGTCAGGAGCAGAGCCAGATAGACCTACTTTATATACCTACATGGCTCTGGACAGAAGGACAAAGAGAGGGTTGTTTTGAAATTAAAGAGTTGCGATATCCCCACTTTTTCACATTTGTGTTTTTTTTCATCAGAAATTATTGCTTATGGGTACCTTCATGTGTGTGTAACATATTACTGTTCTCTGATTTTTAATTCATAGATTTTAGATGTGAAATAAAATGAGTTTATTTTTGCAAAACACTGTATATCCATTGTTTAGCTGGAATGGAATGTTTGTATCCTGTATATTTGACTGTGATATGTTGTTGTCTCACATAGCTACTGTAGCTTAATATGAATGCACTAACTGTAAGTCGATCTGGATAAGAGCATCTGCTAAATGACTAAATTATCCAATGTAAATGTTTTACATACAGATCTCATATTACTGTATGAATTATAAAAACGATGTATAACTTGTATAGTTCTTTATTAAAAATGTACTTATTTGTTACATTTGACTGTAAAACCTAGCAGTACTACTTAGTTCTCCGAGAGTGTCAGATATATATAGCATTTTGCAAAAGAAAAGTATATCTTTCACACATATTATCCAGATACTGACTGTTAGCACTTTGTGATCTATAGCAGCTTCCCACAAGAATGGGCTTTAGGTGAAGCAGATTAACCTGTAGCCATATTACTTCAACAGTATTTAACATGAGATCCTCTCTAAGCTTTACAGGAATGTGGTTCTGAATATAGACCGCAACACCGCCCCCATTGGCATTTCTGTCTTTTCGGTAGATGTTATAGCCATGTATTGCTACCACTGTATCATCAAAAGTATTATCTAAGTGAGTTTCAGAGATAGTCAGAATATGAATGTCATCTGTTACAAAAAAGTTATTGACATCATGAACCTTATTTCTTAGGCTACATATGTTAATATGGGCTATTTTTAACACTTTTCTGGGTTGCTTTATTGTTTTTAATGCTTTACTGGGAAGCTTAGCAGAAGTAGACTTGCTCATGTTATTTATATTGGAGCTGATATTGCACTGTGAGCTGCACACAGTGGACTTCCTACTAGGGCACACTGCCTCAGTGCTAACAGTGTAACTCTGGTTCATAGGCACATGATTACTGCATACAATAGCTGTAGGATCAGAGGTATTCAGGGCAGAGGGGGACATAAATTAAGTTACTTACATTGTGTCTGCCAACGCCCCTGGGATACTGTACATTTGATGCAGCATTATGACAACTCATTGTACAATGGTAGGGATTAACTGAGCTGGTCATTGGTCATTGAGAAGTCATTGTCTTAATGCAGCCTTGAAATGCGTGGACAGAGTCCAGGAGCCAAGATGATGTGGATGGACTCCGTCATTCCTGTAGAGTATCTTCTGTTTCCAGAAGGTGTCAAAGCTATCTATAAAAGTGATTCCACCAGAGCCGGCTGTAGTATATGTGGTGGAGACCCCCTGGGCTGGAGACAGGGTAGAGGATGAAGGAGCAGGAATCTCTGGAAGCAGGTGGGCCAAACTGTTGGTCAGCAGGATGGGATCCCCCAAAGCCATTTCAGCCCCATTCACCAAAGACCGCTGCCTTGCGCTGTGCTTACGGAGTGTGACGTGCCTCTAGTGTGACGTGCCTCGATAACCGTGGCATCCGCCAGCTCCTCATAAAGCGTCCTTGCTGGGATGGGAGGTTGGGGTGGGATGGGGAGGGCAGGTGAGATGGGAGGGGAGAGGTGACTTCACTAGGGAGGGGTCTCTGCAGGGCAGCCTGGCCAGTCAGTCAGAGAGTGGCAACATGGTGGCGAGGCAGTGGCACGACGACCAGGCTGGATACGCTGCAATGTCTCAATTTGCATACTCTGGACGTCCAGCTCAGACATATATTCCTCAATAAGCTGACAGTTTCCACATTGGAAATTTGGACTGACAATATTATCTCAGAACTGTGAAAAGTAGGTGCAGCTCCTACATGGGATGAAACGTTCACCGTAGTCTCTGAAGGTGGTTGCTGCCAATCTGGAAAAAGTCAGTTTCCCCGTATGGCGGAAAGTGGTAGACACCATTTTGGAACAATTCTGTTAAAATCCATGCAAATAAAATAGGTTGTTGAGGAATCAGCGAAAAGTCCATCAATCCACAGTGTGATGGTCAGTTAGATTGAATCACACAGTTTGTAGGGTCACCACAGTCATAGGCAGCAAGCCAGAACCCAACCACAGACTAGAAACCAGCCAGCACTAGGACACACAATAAACACAACCAAGGCACAAAAACTTGGCAGCATAACAACAGAAGGAGGGAGCAGTGACTTACTCAATGCGATTGAATGCTGGGGCCCATCTGCAAAGCAATGGAGGCTGTGTTACCAGTATGATAGCCAAGAGAGAAGCACCTTGGAGGGGATGTAGTTTCCAGTACAGGTCTGTGGAAAGCCGGGAGGGTGGTAAGCGCTACACCGGAACACGGGAGATTCAAAAAGAGTAAATCCAAGTGGAGTTCAAGTTTGGCAGTAGTCCAAAAACATCCAAGGCACAATGTCAAGTGGAATGATGAAAGCAGCAGTAGGCAGGTGTCTGCTCAGATAACGCCCCAGAGCAGAGTAGGGTGCCCAGGTATATCACAGTAGGTAGGTGTCTGCTCAGATAATGCCCCAGAGCAGAGTACGGTGCCCAGGTATATCCAAGTAGGCCTCAAAAGTTTCAACAGACCTGTTTTGTACGTCTCCTTAAAAAATCTGTATGTTATATTGCACTATTATCCAATGTGTTCACAGCCAGATGAAACAAAGGTAAATGGAGACAAAAATCCACACAAAAAACAAAACAAATGTGTGTCTACTAAAATGTTAATGCCAAGTGCCAGGTCTCTCTCCATTTAGAGACGTCAGTATCAAGCCTGTCTGTCAGTCTGGACTCCCATCACATCAAGTCTCAAGTGCTGGCTCCATAGATGCATCTGTGAACACATACACAGTCACTGTTCAATTACCAGTTAGGATAGAATATGTTTGTTTGTCAGATATTACCTATGTTGAAGTTTCAACAGGTCAGACTAAACCTACCTAATTCTGGTCTCCGCATCGAAGACTGTTAGTTAGCAGGCAAGAGGTGAGGCTGGAGGTGAGGTCTTTGCCAGCGTCCCGTTGATGGGCATGGCAGCGTAGATCAGCTCCTGGCCCCTCATCAAAGATACTGGTTGGTCACACACACAGAGCACTGATTACATTATGAATGGTGGTTATGATTAGCATGGTGAAACCAACCTGATTGCTGCATTCACTTTTCTATTTCACTTCAGATATCATAATACAGTGGGGAAAAAAAGTATTTAGTCAGCCACCAATTGTGCAAGTTCTCCCACTTAAAAAGATGAGAGAGGCCTTGAATTTTCATCATAGGTACACGTCAACTATGACAGACAAAATAAGAAAAAAAAAATCCAGAAAATCACATTGTAGGATTTTTATGAATTTATTTGCAAATTATGGTGGAAAATAAGTATTTGGTCAATAACAAAAGTTTCTCAATACTTTGTTATATACCCTTTGTTGGCAATGACACAGGTCAGACATTTTCTGTAAGTCTTCACAAGGTTTTCACACACTATTTTGGCACATTCCTTCATGCAGATCTCCTCTAGAGCAGTGATGTTTTGGGGCTGTCGCTGGGCAACACGGACTTTTAACTCCCTCAAAGATTTTCTATGGGGTTGAGATCTGGAGACTGGCTAGGCCACTCCAGGACCTTGAAATGCTTCTTACGAAGCCACTCCTTCGTTGCCCGGGCAGTGTGTTTGGGATCATTGTCATGCTGAAAGACCCAGCCACGTTTCCTCTTCAATGCCCTTGCTGATGGAAGGAGGTTTTCACTCAAAATCTCACGATACATGGCCCCATTCATTCTTTCCTTTACATGGATCAGTCGTCCTGGTCCCTTTGCAGAAAAACAGCCCCAAAGCATGATGTTTACACCCCCATGCTTCACAGTAGGTATGGTGTTCTTTGGATGCAACTCAGCATTCTTTGTCCTCCAAACACGACGAGTTGAGTTTTTACCAAAAAGTTATATTTTGGTTTCATCTGACCATATGACATTCTCCCAATCCTCTTCTGGATCATCCAAATGCACTCTAGCAAACTTCAGACGGGCCTGGACATGTACTGGCTTAAGCAGGGGGACACGTCTAGAACTGCAGGATTTGAGTCCCTGGCGGCGTAGTGTGTTACTGATGGTAGGCTTTGCTACTGACTTCATCCCAGCCTATGCCAACCTCCAGTCCCTCGACTTCCTGGCGCTGACGGAAACATGGATCACCACTGAAAACACGGCTACTCCTACTGCTCTCTCCTCGTCTGACCATGTGTTCTTGCATACCCCGAGAGCATCTGGTCAGAGGGGTGGTGGTACAGGAATCCTCATCTCTCCCAAGTGGACATTCTCAATTTTTCCCCCTAACCCATCTGTCTATCTCCTCATTTGAATTCCATGCTGTCACAGTCACTAGCCCATTTAAGCTTAATATCCTTGTCATCTATCGCCCTCCAGGTTCCCTTGGAGAGTTCATCAATGAGCTTGACGCCTTGATAAGTTCCTTCCCTGAGGATGGCTCACCCCTCACAGTTTTGGGGGATTTCAACCTCCCTATGTCCACATTTGACTCATTTCTCTCTGCCTCCTTCTTTCCACTCCTCTCCTCTTTTGACCTCACCCTCTCACCGTCCCCCCCTACTCACAAG